TATTTTCCTACAGAAATTTACGTTGAGTTTCTAATATTTCATAGAACTGTAGAATGGTTTGGGTTGGAAGGGACCTGAAAGATCATCTAGATCCAACCCCCCAGCCATGGGCAGGGCCCCCTTCCCCAGCCCAGGGGCTCCCAGCCCCGTCCAACCTGGCCTTGAACCCTTCCAGGGAGGGGGCAGCCACAGCTGCTCTGGGCACCCTGTGCCAGTGTCTCACCACCCTCACAGGGAAGAATTTCTTCCTTATATCTAAATTAAATCTACTGTCTTTCAATTTAAAACCATTACCCCTCGTCCAATCACTCCACTCCTTGATAAAGAGTCCCTCCCCATCTTTCCTGTAGCCCCTTTTAGGTACTGGAAGGCTGCTATAAGGTGTCCTTGGAGCCTTCTCTTCTTCAGACTGAACAACCCCATCTCTCTCTACCCATCCTCATAAGGGAGGTGCTCCAGCCCCCCGAGCATCTTTGTGGTCCTCCTCTGGACTTGCTCGATCAGGTCCATGTCCTTCTTATGTTAAGGGCCCCCGAGCTGGACCCATCACTGCAGGTGGGGTCTCCCGAGAGCAGAGCAGAGGGGCAGAATCCCCTCCCTCGCCCCGCTGGCCACCCTGCTCTTGATGCAGCCCAGGACACGGGTGGCTTTCTGGGCTGCGAGCGCACATGGCTGGCTCACTCGGTTTTCCATCCACTAGTGCCCCCAAGTCCTTCTCCGCAGGGCGCTCTCAATCCACTCATGGCCCAGCCTGTATTTGTGCTTGGGATTGCCCCACGTGCAGGATCTTGCACTTGGCCTTGTTGAACTTCATGAGATTTGCATGGACCCACCTCAAGCCTGTCCAGGTCCCTCTGGATGGCATCCCGTGCCTCAGCATGTCAACGGCACCACACAGCTTGGTGTCGTCGGAAACTCAGCTCAGGGTGCCCTCAGTCCCACTGTCCACGTCGCCAACAAAGATGTGAAACAGCACTGGTCCCAGTACCAACCCCTGAGAAACGTCACTCGTCACTGCTCTCCACTTGGACATCGAGCCATTGACAACAACTCTTTGAGTGTGACCGTCGAGCCAATTCCTTATCCACCGAGTGGTCCATCCATCAAATCCGTGTCTCCAATTTAGAGACAAGGATGTCGTGCAGGACGGTGTCAGATGCATTGCACAGGCCCAGGTAGATGACTTCAGTTGCTCTTCCCTTATCCACCGAATGCTGTAACCCCATTGTAGAAGGCCACCAGATTTGTCAGGCACGATTATCCCTAGTGAAGCCATGCTGGCTGTCATCAGCCACCTCCTTATTCCCACATGCCCTAGTATATTTTCCAGGAGGATCTGCTCCATGATCTTGCCAGGCAGAGAGGTGAGACTAACTAGGCTGTAGTTCCCCAGGTCTTCTTTTTTTTCCCTTTTTATACATGGGAGTTATGATTCCCTTTTCCAGTCAGTTGGAACTTCACTGGACTGCCATGACTTGTCAAATATGGTATATAGTGGCTTAGCCACTTCATCTGCCAGTTCCCTCAGGAACTGCAGATGCATGTCATCAGGTCCCATGGACTTGTGCACCTTCAGATTCTGTATGTATTTCTGTATGACTAGTAAAAATTAGATATGAATGTTACTGCTTCATCCACCCACCAGTGTACTACTTTTAGCACCGTTTCATCCAAGAAAGAGGTTGGATCACATCTACTCTCAAGGTGAGGTAGAGTTAAAGGCAGGGAAGAAACCTAAAAAAAAACAACAAATTTTCTTCTAAGTCTTCAAAATAATATTTCCTTATCTTTTTGGTGTTGCCTATCATTGTCTTAGGAGGACCCAGGACATCGTAGTTACAGTTGACTTCAGAGTATCAGTTCCTAAAGGCTCTGCCTGCTTATGACTGGAACCAAGAGTGATTTTTGTCACAATTACATTTTCTGCAATGGGCTCCATACAAGTTGCTGTTCATTTATATAATAATTGAAAGGAAGATTCTTCAACTAAGGGCCTATTTTCTACTGTCTTCTGTGACTAGTAGTCTGTGCTCTGCTTTGTGTAACTGTAGTGAATTACAGTTTTACCTGTCCTCATTTCCCAGTACAGTTTTTTTACCTCTTCGTTTTTTTAAATAGGTGTAGGCCACCAAAATGTTACACCTATATTTTTTTTATTGCAGCTTATTTAGTTTTAAGTTGCCACCTAATATTATTCTTTCTTCCTATCTTGTTTAAACAAACCCTAAATAATTAAAACCTGGATAATGAAGAGGTTTACTGGATATAGCTACACACTTGTGTGCAGATTTACTTGCTATTTATTTGACTGGGTTTTTTTAGTTTTTTCAAACTGTAAAAGCATTCCTGCTTGCAGCTGCTCTTTTAGTTTTGTCCTTCTAGCCATGTAACTCCTACCCACTTCAGAAAATTGACTCAGGCCACACTTCATTTGGTCTTTGATTAGGAATTTTAAAAAGGTCAGGAGAACCAGTAAGATATTTATCAATATTATGTCAAAGCATGCAGAAATATATTAGTCTAATATATTTGAACTTAATTAATATTAATGCTGTGTAAACACCATTCTCAAAGTTGCCATTTTAGATTTAAGATGTAAGTAGTGATTTCAAAATTAATGCAAGACTGAAATAAAATAGAATCGAAAAGATTAAAATACAGTGAAAAACAATCAACAAACCTATTTTGTTGTTAAATCATAAAACCCCTTAGTGTGTTTTCTTTTTTTTTTTTTTTATATAATGGATATAATGGAATCAAGATGTCAAATGTTTTTACACTTTCTAACTCAGGAGTTTCAAAATTACCTGGATAATAAAAAAAAAAAAATCCTATTTCACCTTGATGCCCGATATTGTATTTCTTCAGTTTCTCAACTTTCAAAATTTATCTATTTTCACAAGATTAATTTTAAATTTATTCAGCAAAGAATCAAATGTTAATATGACTCCATTTAAAAAAAGAAACAAATTAGTAAACTATAAAATTAAGTGGATTTTAAAAGCAAGGGGATTTTTTTCAGTGAAACCTGTTGACATGCTGTTTATAACAAATAAGAATTCACTGAAGAAGATGTAGTGGATCTGTTAATAAAAGGAAGTGGCTGACTTGCATAGTTATGTATGTTTATTCAGGCTTTCAATACAAAAAATTACAAAAAGGTGAATAGACAAGTAATCCTTAAACAATTAATGATGACAGAAGGGACGTACACTGTCCTTTTGTTATGTTGGGGTTCTCTTAATTTCTGCAGACATTTTAAAAAGATTTTGCCAGTGTGTCGTTTTTGAAGTGGGAGAAAATTGGTATGTTGCTAACTGACAGTATCAGAATATTTCTACTCAGCTGAAAGTTAATAATTGTAAGAGTCACAGTGTTACTGAATTGATGATGGAAAGATGTATCAGCTAAGCTAAAACAGGTATAGAGTAATTGCTCCCAGTGAGCAAATATTTATGCACACATTGTTTCTCTTTTGGTCTCTTCTCTGTAGTTGCCTGAATTAATTTGCTTGGTTTTAATTGTAAATTTAGAATTTAGATAAATTCACAACTATTATGTCTGCTTATATATAAAATTATATTTACATTATACATTTATAATTACATTATGAATTTCCAGAGGCAGTAACTTGTTTAATTATACCCTAAATACTTCTATTTTCTTAATAGTGTTTCATTTTAAATTAATTCAATTATACACTGCAGGTTGATACAAGCATGATTGTGCCAAAAGGTCAAAATTAACCTCTGATTCTCTGGAATTTGACATAGCAATCTTAAAAAGCAACTGAAACTATCTTAAAACAGAACTGTGAAGCCATGGTTATATTTTTAATTAAAACTAGATGGACTTGCAAGACAGTGTTTGCCATTTACATAAGAGCCAGGCACTCAAACTTTTCCATATGTTAGTTTTAAGAACACAGAAATTGTCATATTGCTCAAACGAAAGAGTTGTCAGACGAAGTATGTGGGGTCAATTTAAGCAAACCCTGGGCAATACAAGGTGCTTAGGGGGACAGTATAGAACATTTTCCTCAGTGTACATTTCCCAGCAGTATGTGGTTAACAGGCATTCAGAACTGGAATTAAGTGGTATTTAAATACTTTTCCCCTTCTACACCAGTCGGGGGGTTTAACTGCCATGATTCGTCTTAAATGTGCCTTGCAGTGAATCTTAATTTAATGTCAGTTTAAATTGCTTCATATACATATCTAAAGGAATAAGTATTAACATCTCATTGCTGTCTCTTGGTTCAGATACCATGTGATGGTAATAAGCATAATAAAGTGAGAGTGGGGTTGATTGAATGATACTCAACTGTATTTCCAAATCCTACTGCAGATATGGGTACAAATAATTTTTGATTACCACTCAACTTTATTTGATATTTTCAGGGAAGTGTCCTCAGTGTTCCTAAAGTATCTTACTGAGTGATAGTATGGGGTTTAAAATGCATAATCATATCTCTTACTTTAAAATCTGTATCCCCATTATATATTTTGCATTTGTTGGTGCTTTATTTCATTCTCCTCTTTGGTTGTCCAGTGGTTTAGGACTGCAGTATCACTCTGAGGTTCTTCATAGTCAATTTTTGTTTCCACTGTCTCGCATAGTCAGGTTGTACCACCAGGAAACTTATCACCTCACTGTTTGCTTTCCAGATCATTTAGGATGTGTCAAATAACATAACTCCTTAAATCAATTATAATCTCCCTACTCTGTGAAAATGAACTATTTTGCTGACAAATGTTCCCTATCTTTTAAAGACTAAAGAATTAAAAGAGAAGCTTCTCAAAAGCTACATGAAAATATTAGATACAATATAAGCCAGATCACCATTTAATTTCCCCAAAGTAACATTAATTTTCATTAGTATGTCATGTATCAACTTTTTTTTGTTGTTCCTCTAGGGAATATTTTGCAATTAAAGTGTTTTCATTAGTTGATTAAGACTTTTGCTATTTCTCATCAGCCCTGTTTCTTTCTATCTTAAGGTGATGGTGTTTGTTCATGCTAGAAATGCCACAGTCCGAACTGCTATGGGTCTTCGCGAAAAAGCAAAAAACAATGGTCATATTTGTCACTTTTTGTCACCCAAGGATCAGATTATGGGCAAGCTGAAAAACAGGTGAGTAATTTACGTTAGTACTCTTTACAGTCCTAGAATTGATGTTTTTACAAGACAGTCCAATATAGGAATAGATGAAGCATTTTTGAGCTTCTGGGAAGATACATTTTGCTCTGAAGGGGCATGTGAAATTGATGAATTGAATAGAGGAAAGGAAAGAGTAAAGGTGAAGGAAGAGAAAATTGCTGTTGCTTTTAGTTTTTTAAACAAAAGCTGATAAAGATTGCGTTTTATGCAACCTGTACTACTTGACAGTAGTCTTCATGTAAACTGCAGTTTAGGAAGTCGCTAAACCACCGGTTGCTGCAATCTGGGGCAGTACCTGTCTCCCGCTTTTTGCACTGTTTTCCTAAGCATCTGCTACTGTCCACTTTTAAGACAGAAAACTGTCTTAAATTATTACTCTGACCCAGCCTGTAAATTTAGCACTTTCCAAATCCATCTGGCTTTCCTCACGAATCAACTAATGGTGGGCGATCAATAAGTAATCTATTTGAGAGTTGAAACTGGGAAAGACATTTGAATCTCACAAGGGTTTAGCCCCCCTTAATCTGATCTTGTTTAAAATATGTATATGGGTCATAAATTACTGGCATTTTGAGCAGCGGCCAAATACTAGCCAGCTGAAACTGTGTACATTTTTATGCATTCTAACAGTTCCGTCTTTGCATGAATTGTGTTAACCTTCCAAATTTTTTTCTAATGTATAACAGAGAAGTAATGTAGTTTGCAACTTCTTTTCATCTATTCAAGCAATATACCAGTATTTCTGCTGAGATAATATTTCCAAAACAATTCTTAATTCGATGTTATATGTGACATTTATATTTGGTGATACTAATTGAGGTCTAAAGATTAACATTAACATTAATCTTGTTAATATTTCTTGAAAAATACCCCAACTAAATAGCAGAACATAGAGGAGATATTTATTCATTGTAGAAAGTTTAATGTATGTATAGGATACCTTCTCTTCATCGCAAAGGTATTAATAAACTTCAATATTTTGGGCCTCCGAGAATTAGGAATTTTTTGAGCATTTTAGATTCTATGTCCATCTTTAGATTACTTTATACCTCTGAAGATAATGCGAAAAGTTTAATTCAGAGTTACTAATTATGAGTGGAAGATAGATGTTACGGTTGGTAAATTCAAATTTCTGAAATGTAGAGAAAATTCCATTTTAAAGAAGTTTTTTTTTAAGTCAGGATCAAGTATGTTCTTTCTGTTGAGATGTTTCTGAGAGCTATAATAAATATTTTAAAAACAATGCTAAGTTATAAATTGATGTCCTTCTATTTCACAAAATAGCATATAAAAAAGCCCCTCTTTCTAGTGGATGTAATGTCTTCTGTGTTATAAAAAGAACATCAAACCTGAACCTGGAGATGCCATGTTTCTACTGTAAAACTGATAATTAACACTGAACTTTTTCTCATTAGATTTCTTAGAACAAAATCTGAAATTCTTATTTTATTAAAAATAATATTAGGGGGTTTTATGGTAATACAGAAAAAAAATATTTTAAGCTGTTGGAAGTACCACTGCTTATTTAGACACTGAAAATTACTGATAAAGAAGCTAGGAAAAATCATATGCTTATTTCAGTAGTGCATGTTACGTGAGGAATCTGCCAAAGAAGTATTTGTCCAACTTACTCTGTATTTCAGTGAAAACTACTGCTGTATGTTGAGTTCTCATCATCCTGGCATTAAATTAATTAGGAAGATATTCTTATGTTAATGGGAACCACAAGAATGTCACAGAGAAAAGTTCTGTACCTATTTGGAATACAGGTTATTGCTACCTGTGCTTGAATAGTGATTTAAGGTAGCATTTGCAGTACAAATTAAGAGTGGTAGAATAAGATTAACACGGCCTATAGGCTGATTGACCACATATCTGGAAAAACTTCTTTTCTAAGGGTATTTATGCATCACACTGAAATCTACGGGATACCAAGTAAAACAGCAATTTTCCCTGCTCTTTTTCTGTCCCCTACATCCCCCCCAGCACACATATATTTGTGATGAATCCCAGCATCTGTTCTAAATCAAATTTTGAATTGTTTGAGGATTGTAGTTCCAAATGTTGATCTGTGTGAAAGATTGTAGAAAAGCTGACTATGCTTTAGAAGAACTTCCAGAAGTTTTTTAACTTCTGTAATAAAGCAAACTGGCCTTCATTGTAATTAAAAGCAAATTAATTCTTCTCTTATGTTTTATGGTAATCTTAGATCCTTTTGACTACTTTCTGCATTATTACAATAGCAAAAATGCTTCTTTTGCCCAGAAGGCTTAGGGAGTTGTGTGTTATAAAATGTAATTGAAGAAGCATGCGTGGTATTGTGAAGATCCATTTCACATACTATAATACAGTCAGAGACTATACTTCTCCTTATATTACCTCAGAATCTTAGGTAAACCAATAAATAATAATTAAAATAATTTAAAGATTCACAACAAAATTCCACTAAATTAAGCGGTTATTTTGATGCTCAATAATTTCACTACACTGGGAATTCCCTGAAACATTTACAAACTGTTACCACAAGAAGTGTAGTCATTGTGTGAAAGATATGATTATTCTCCATTGGAAATGCCTGAATCTTTTATTTCAGTATTCTATTTTATTTTTAAATGTAATGTGTAGACATTATGACAAGAAATCTTTAAACATAGAATAATATGAAGCATGTAGCAGTGTTGGCTGCTTTTTTTTTTATGAAGATGTCAGTGTCTTTTACATTGATTAATACCAGATTTGTGACACTAGTTAGGAGAGTTCTCTTTTGATTTATTTCTTATTATGAAAAGCACATTTGAAATCAGGGCATTTTTTTTAATCAACTGT